GCGTTCAATTATCAAGTAAGGAATTGTCATGGCTCAGAAATTGGAGCCAAAGGACAGCATAACGATTTAATCAACTGAGTAGCACTGGAGACACTGAAATCGCTATAGGCCTTGTAGTTTCCTTGCATAATAGAACCAGAATCCTTTGCGAAACATTTGATCTCATTGGAACCAATAACTCTATCCCAAATATTGACTTGGGTCACATAGCCTTTAAAGGAATCTTTGGCTTGGAAACCAGCTCCAACTGAATCTTGGTCTTGACCGATTACCCATATTCCGCCACCTTTGATTTGTTCTCCAGTCATGACATTACCAATTGTTTTAACCAAAGCACCGTCCTTGTATACTGTGGACGTGCCGCTTGATGACTCCCATGTGACACACACGTGATGAAGTTGGCCATCAGAAAGGAGCAAGTCTCCAATTCTGTAAAAAAAAAAAAAAAAGAAAAGAGGCTCGGAATGACTCCATATTCCAAGACTTATACATGTTCTTTTGCGAGCAACAGGGCGACCTGAGCTTCTCACATTAAATTAAATACACTGATGAAGGCACTAATTATACGTAACCTCGTTATAAACACATGCATCACCATCTGGGGGAGGGGACTATATGCGGCGAAATAGGCGATAAAACTGGCAATAGCACTGCCTCAAATAGCTTTTGAGACGATAACTATTAAAGGATTAGCGGCACGCCATGGTATTGCGAACGCAAACCGTCTTTCTTTGGGTGAGTCAATACAATAACAACAGCATAGTATTGGGAACACAGACCATCCTTGGAGAACTCCTTTGCTTTTGTCTGAATCTTGTTGGAAATGTAAGAAACAAGGATTTTTTTCGTTAGATGTTTATTTTGGGTAAGTCAAAACAATAACAAAAGACTGCGTTACTTGTGTTGTGACACTAAACCTCTAATAATAATGTTTAAGAATGTTTGAGCCATAATCGAAGATTTCGTCGTACATAAAGAGAAATTCGTTGCGATATGCTTAATTTATAGCCGCACTAAATAACATTATCTTTGTCTCCTTTCACGGGTGAGGCCATAGTGATGTGATCGCATAGTTAGTCACTGGAAAATTGAAGCAGAAATCACTTGTTTAATTAATGTCATACCGGTGGGAATCAGATTTGATCCACAAGACCATATCTGGATCCATCCATAGCGTAAACTCGTTTCCATGCTTTGTCCCTGCGGCGGCATATGATAACAGGGTGGAACGTTCATTCTGTGCTTCAGAGCCAGACATAAAAAAACACGCAGTGATGGATTCTAGTGCCAGTGAAGAAGCTTCGGATATGGCATATTCGCTTGTGTCCATACCGCGAAATTTCAATACCAAAGGGCCTATATACAAATAAGCAGAATTTAAGAGTTAAGCAGTTCTAGAATTTAAGAGTACGAGATAACTTATGAAGACTGCATAAAGTGTGTAGAGTTCTAAAATGTCCTCTAAACTGAAAATTCAGAAATATTTGTGGCAACTTTATGTCAGTATAGGTCACTTGATTATCTAGCATCTCCGTAATAGCCAATCACGCATAATGTTCAAACTTATTGTAAAAACCATGCAGCAAATCAAACATGCATGCTTTGCGTTTCTCCTCTCTCATCAGTCAACAAAAAAATAGTTAATACGCTCAACCCGCGAAGGAGCCTAATTACTCGCTGGGCACCTGTGCCCCAGGCGAGTATAGGTTTCGGCTCGCAATTTTCTCGGATAGTGGATCGTGGATCGAGGATCGATAGCCACAAAATAGAATATCAGTGAGCTGTCTAATTTTACCGCATTGGCTCCTGCCAATTTTACCCAAATTGTCCATAAATAGCCCTCCATTTTGAGGAAAATTGGTGAAAATTGAACAATTTTACAAGGAATTTCGCATGGAAACAGCAACATTCGCAAATCGCAAGTTTGATAAAAGTTTGTACATTTGACTGCGCTGCTTTATATTTTGAGAAGAAAGCGACACCGTTCGATTCAGCGTAATAAATTGTATTTATGGATATCAAGTGTATTACTAAACACCCGTATTCTAGCGATTTATTTCCTTTGGCCGGGGGAATTAATTCCGCTCGGCCAGTTACACCCGTGGAAAGGAAAGCATCAGCGAAGTCTAAAGTTAATCAATAATCGCTAGCGCGTGAATATGGTTCACTTCTGTCGTGAGTGGGCCTCTTCCCCGACCTCAAAAATATAGCGAACTTCAGGGGTGGAAAATTGAGGAATTTGCGGGAAAATCATGATTCAGAAAAAAACATTTGGCTCTGCCTCATAACAAAAGATGATGGACATATATTAGATTGCTGGAAATCGAAAACGTAAAGAAAATTAAGTTTGTTTAATTTTAAATATTGATGAATTATTTGCTTTATAATTGTTTAAAAACTGGTTTTGCGTATAATGAAAAAGATAGAAACTAAAATAAGAGTATTTTTATTAATTAAAATGTTTAAGTTAGGAGCTAGGAAAGCAAGGTTATTCTCATGAGACAAATTGAATTTTTTTTTTTAAGCTGAAAGTTTATCCATATAAGGCAGTATAGTTATAAATGAAGTTCAAGTTACATTAAATTGAATTACAGTATATTACGCATAATAACGTATTACCTAATATACATACATTGGGGAAATTGATAATTTTGTAATTAATAGCAGTTGTATTTTTAGGGTTTCTTTCAGTTAGAATGACAACCACGGTTTTGGCAGCTATGCGGGGGTTTCTGTACTCATGCATTTGTTTCTAACATGTTTCTTCAAGCCTTTAGATTTTTTCTTAGCAAGCTGAAAAACCTGTTTCCTTCTTGTGTTGTTTCGTTGTTTCCTGAAGATGCTCTTCATCCTCGTCCTCATGGCCAAGCTCGCTGCTCTAGCTCAGTGGCCCTGGTTCCCGCTGTTGGATCCCGGTGTTGGATCTGCTCAAATATATAGCTGAGTGTAATTAAACGGAATCAATTGATTTTGCACTTTCTATAACAAGAAATGCTAATATAAAGATTAAAAGATAGTAAGATTGTGAATGGATGGGATGCTATTACTGTCCTGCCGACTGGTGTTGGCAAATCGCTTTATTTGTTAACTGTTGCCTTCGATATTTGATATTTTCCTACAATTACACTGTATCATGGGGAAGAAATGATTATGCCGTGTGGCAAGAAAGCACAGTAATGGTTATTTCTTCTTTAAACTCCTAATGGAAGAGCAAATTGGGAAAATTAAGACTACAAAAAGGCAACAACAAAAAACTGTGTAAACTGTTGTTTTGCGCAACGGTCACGACGTTAAATATTTCTGTAATTTTGAATACTTTTATACTGCAAACTGTGCAAAGTTAATATTAATTAACAAACATACATTTAAATGATAAAATGACTGTATTCTGAATTAGATGTTCAAGACAATCGACAACTCTATGAAAATTAAATAATACTTTCCAACCCAGAGGTAATTTATAAGTTTTTGAAAAATATCAAATAATTATTAATTTGAGATATTTTATGACAATTTGTTACCTTTAGAACTCTGTAAATCTCCTTCAAAGTGCAAGAAATGGCATTTCAGAAACTGTAGTTTTAAAATTTTCCCAGGAGGCATGCCCTCGGACTCCCCTGGACTGTTACCTTCATTGATATTGCTTGCCTTTAATATCTTATTTGTTAGTTGGTCTATTAATATCTTTCCATGTACATATATTTGCAAATATTTTTGCCAGCATGGAACGAATTTCTATATAGTATTTGGGTTTTGTAGTTTCAATTATTAGTTAATTTCTAGCTTGTTCCACGCATTGTAAATTACTATTTAAAACATGAGGAGGAGTGCTTTATCAGATATAACGATACGAGGAGAAGCCGAGTATCTTTAGATCAGATAAAACACGCACTGCGAATGTTTTGAATTGCTTTAAAAACGATCAATCTATTAACTAAGTTCATTGGCGATGTAATTTTCAAAAAATACGTTGTGTAAGTCGAGAAAATCAAATTTTAAGTTCATGTAGATCAATAGTCTCCTATGCAGACATACTTTAGCGGGTTTGGGCCCGCCACGTACGGTCTGCTTACTTTCTCTAGCAATTCGCCTTCCATTGTATTCCATTAGCCAATAGCTTTCAAATACACAAGACCCGCCCACTTTGAATGTCAACTGTAAAGTGTAAACAAGGAGCGTGTGGTAATCGAATAATAATACGATATATATATATATATATATATATATATATATATATATATATATATATATATATATATATATATATATATATATATATATATATATATATATATATATATATATATATATATATATATATATATATATATATATATATATATATATATATATATATATATATATATATATACGTATTTAAATGGCCATATAAGTGTGAACAGATCGAGTTTTCTGATCAATAGCAGTCGAAGTAGAAAATATTGAACAGATTCATATTGATCTACGTTAACTTTAACTTTGATTTTCTCGGCTTAAACAACGTTTATTTTTAAAATTACTTCGCCAATGAACTCATAAGATGAGTCGTTTTCGGCTCGAGTTTGTATATCCGATACAACTATAGGCCGCTCATGTTGTAACTATAGTGGTACTAAAGTTTCCGAACGTTCAATATCAGAGCGACTTTTGTAATTACGATTTTATTAAACTTTATAAACTGGCTAGTCATATACAAACTTAGAAACCAAAATATGCAATGAATCAATTCAGTATTTTATATATAGGCTGAATTCTGTCTTGAATTCTGTAGTTTTCAATTGACCATTTGCGTAATAGACTAAATTTTGATCTCAACAAAAATTTCATTACAGCTTGAAAGAGCATCACAAAATTAGTAATATTCCAAAGTTTCGTTGCGAAATGCTGTAAAATGCGGAAAATATAGCCTTGCGAAATTTGCAATTTTCAGTCATTTTAGATTACAAACCGGAAATTGACAGCCTCGAAGGGTTTGGGGCTGTCAATTTCCCGTTTGTAATCTAAAATGACTGAAAAT